GAAGAGTTGAAGCTGTAATAGCTGCAAAAGGTGGACCGACATCATATTGAACTCTGGGTTAGGAATGGGATGGCACTTCAGTTCATAGTATGAGTCAAGGCAGGTGAGCCAATACTTTTGGTAATATGGTGTACATACATGCCAGCTGTCTGCTGGTTTGGATTTCTAAGCTGAATTTTATGCAAGGCGTGAGAACGAGAAGAAAGTGAATTTGCTCCACTTGCTCCCTGTGTGCGCTCCTCACTGCCGTGAGAAATCACCTTTTCAAGATGAAGGAGGCGACAGGAGGACAGAGAGACCAGAGACAGAGAGTGAGGTGATTAGGATATGTAGTCATCAATACATCATACTAAAACTGTATATGTGCAATAACTGTATAACTAGCATTAACTTATGTTATAGCAAAGATATGTGCAATATTCCACGTGGAATGTCGCTCACCTGTTTAATTTCAGTTAATGCTAAAAATCGTAATATGTGAACTTGTTTAACTCATTATGTACAGTCTTTGTTTCTCTGTAATTATTATCTTCAATAATTTATTTATTAACTCAACTGCAATTTCCCCACTGTGAGTCTAATAAAGGACTTTTTAATCTTAATCCTAAAAACAACATGATAAAGCATAATAAGATGTCATGTGTGACATGGGTTGATGATTTCATGTAAATAGCACCGGCTCTTGATTGTCCTATATGGCAATAAGAAGAGATAAACCTCCAGCATTGAATTGACCGACTCCACCCTGACATCCCGCAGAGCAGCGATGTGAACCACCTTCTGTCCATCCTCTCTGGCATATACCCTGTGGACAGATGAAAAGAGTGAGAAGATGCAAAAAAATATTACAATAATTCTTCTATATAGGTTCCGTATGTAGTACCTTTTTCTTCGGTCCAACAGGTTGTACAGCTGACCGCAGTAAATCTCAAAGAAACTAACATACACCAGAGTGAGTGTTTGAGAGGTGGACTGGTGTTTAAAAATGTCCCGCACTGCCAGTGCATACAACCCTGGCATCTTTGTGGATGAGCTCAACATGGTATGAGTCTTCCCTGCACCCATCTGGCCATATGCAAAACAAGTTGCCTTACCTCTGGGTGAACACAGAGCAAATGAAATATAAGGATACACGGAGTCACAGAAACAAATTCAGACAGGAATTTTATATAAACACTGCTGACCTACCCACTCAGCATGTGCTGAACCAGAGGAAACACTGCACTCTGATAAACTTCCTCGTTGGAGCTATCTTCTCCAAAAACCTGGTCAAAGTAGAATCTGTGCTGTAAAAATGAGAAAAGACATTGGCTGTAGGAGATCTTTAAATCCAAGAAGACAAAAAGTGAAAGTATGGCAACAAATTGAAGAAATGTCTCTCCTGGACTTTTACCTGTAAAATGTACTGTGTGAGATCCACAGCTTCTTTGCATTCGTGGCAATAACACACTCTCCACTCAGGGCTGTCACAACATCTGTTTCTCCTCTCCTGCTCTCTGCACTCGTTAGTGGCCTTTTTCTCACACGCTGTTGTCCTTCTTGTCTTCTACACTCACAGAGAGACTTCATTAATGGGTGCAAAACTGTAAAGTTCATATTCAAATTATATAATAATAATAACATTCAGGCCATTCAGGATTCATTATCTATGCAAAAGTCTTTAACTGTTTTCAGTCATCCAGGTTATTGTGCTAACTCGAACTGCTCTTACCTGGACTTTTAATAAAGGCAATTTATCAGCAACTATATTTAATGGGCCATAGTTGCTCCTCTAATAATAGTAATAATAATAATAATAATTTGAACTTTATTGATCCCTTATTTGGGAAATCCTGTGTTAACAGCAGATCTGTTGCAACATGCTGCCCCTGCCCTGCAACACTATGGAACCAAATAGCAGTGTGTATTGGCAAGAACCAGGCAATACCATATGTATACTGATACAACAGCAACGATATGATAACAGTGATATACTGCAATACTACAAGCATGATGACTTTTTTTTAATTGTAGGAATACTGTCAGTATAGTAAACACAATGCTTTTACATGTTTAACATCAGGTCCTAAAATAAAAGAGCAATCTACATTTGTAATCACTACAGAAGGAATAAACGCCCATATAACCAACGCCAAGAATATTTGCAGGTTAACTGTTAATAACAATTATATTTAGTGCTGTAGAATATCAATACAGTACTGTGAAATGAAACATCGCAAAATTTCAGTGTATCAATATTTTCTTGCACCCCAATCACCTTAGGACTGATGACAACACAAACCTCCATAACTTACTTTTTTTTTGCAGCAGTAGAACTCTGTAGTAGTCCATAATTGTAGCCAGCTGCTATCTTTGATTCATAGATAAGTCGTGGTTTAGTCATGAATCCATAAGCTCCATTGCTGCTTTTTTCTGAATAAAAAAATTCCTTCTTGGATGATATTTCCTTGCCTTTGAGCCCAAATGTTTGTGCTGCCACAAGTCCAGACCTGCATTTCTGCTGGTGGCCTGACAAATGCTTTGTTGATAATAACAGCGAGGAGTTGTGCAGAGTAAATCCATCTATAAGGTTTGGTTTGTTGGCTTCAGCTGTGAAGTGATGATTCAATGAACCACTATGTTCAACAGTCCTGTGGTTATTGTTGCCTCTGCAGCCACATACCACAGCACTCCCAGGGGGGATGCCATTTTTATATTGACCACCACAACCATCTATGGGATGAGAGAGCAGTTTCTGATGAGAGTCAATAGTTTCACTACTGAAATCCAGGCGTCTGCAAACATGTAATGGTCTGTCAAAGGCAGTTGAATGCAACTGAACTGACGCTCCAATCTTCTGCTTATCATCACATATGTCATTATCATGGTCCAGGTAATCATCATCCACTGAGCCTTCAGCATCGGCATTAGCAGCATAATCATATTCAAGATCGAGATTTTTGACCATTTGGATTAGATTGAAGAGAGTCTAACCCCTATCGATAGAGCGGATTCCCAGGATGGGAAAGTCCTCAATGGTCAGTGCAGAAAGATGTGGAGCACAGCAAACTCCCATAGAAGTAAATCTGACAGGACAACAAAAACAGAGAGCAGGTCAGCCACAGGAGAATCATGTCAAGTGTGTCTTTAAGGCCTGTGTGTGTGAGTGTGTTTACCTGGCTAAGTGATGCAGAAGGCCAACTGCCCTCAGACACTCGTCAAGGCACAGTTTCATTTTTTTTATCTCTTAATGCTCTTCTTCCTTACTCCTCTAAACCTGCAAGACATGTGGGTTGAGTCTGTCCATGAAGTGGTTAACAAAAGCTGTGTGTGATGTGTGTGAAATTGGCTGTACAGTTGTATGAATGCTGTTGAAACTCATATCTAGAATATATTGAAAAGTTCGCACTCCAAGTCACTGTGAGCACGACAATGTTCTTCTTCCCACAGTGACTTCTGCCGATGGCCACTGGGCGGTCACTGTGTCATTACTACCCCACTGTACTGTTGTGGTGGATATGCAAAACACAGGAAGCTGGGACATTACTGATATTTGACACTTGCTCAGTAAGCAGCACAGTGCAGTCGTGTCACACATTTCTGTGTCATAGCAAACATGATAAATATAGCAGCCACGGCCAAGCAACTGTTGGTTCTTTGGATTCTGCAGTGGATTTACAGACAGCTGCAACAGCTCTGCCATGCAGAACTACTGTCTGAGCCCCTTCATATGCATACATGAGGTAAGGCTCACCAACTGTGCCACAAATGCCTCACATCAACATCCCCAGTGCAAATAAACCATATTTTCTTTAGATAAAAAAAGAAAAAGAAAATTCCGAACATCCCCTAAAAGATTTTTGGCTGTGTTCAGAATAGAATAGATTTTTTTTATTGTGCATCTTTTTTGCACCAACATTTCAATGAACCATTTCTAATTAGTGCAATTTAAAGGTTTATATTAATAATATTAATATTAAATATATATTCAATTATTTAATTACATTCAATTACATTTTAAATTAATATATTATTATTTTGTTACTGTTATGCTGGACAGCAAATTCACACAGTTTTCCAGGTTCTTTTAGTATCATTAATAATCAAATAGGAAGAAGAAAAAACAGTAAAACAACAACAACACACACGTATATATGCAAATATATGTATGACATCTTTTTCTTTCAGCTTTGTCCCTTTTGGTAGCTGGTAGCTCCATCTCTAACATTCTTCTACCAATGTATCCACTGTCCCTCCTCTGCACATGTCCAAACCATCTCAATCTGGCTTCTCTAGCTTTTTCTCCAAACCTTCCTGTCTGTGTTGTCCCTCTAATGACCTCATTCCTGA